GTTTCAACTGGGTTTCATTGAGCCAATAGATTAATTTGGGGAAAACTGTCACTTAAACAATATTAAGTCTTTCAATCCATGTTCATGTTTCACTCCATGTTCTGCCTAGAAGGGAAAGTAAGAGCAAAGGCAGATGGGTAAGAAAACAGCGTGGCTTACGGAGCACGAGAAGCTACGGAGAAGTTCAATGGGGTGTTAAAGTGCAAGGCATGGAATACTGAAGGTTAGGCTGAAGAAAGAGGTCTGATGTGCATTCACAGAAGACTCAAGCAACAATGGATTTGAATAGTTTTTTTTTTTAATTTTTTATTTATTTATGATAGTCACAGAGAGAGAGGCAGAGACACAGGCAGAGGGAGAAGCAGGCTCCATGCACCGGGAGCCCGACATGGGATTCGATCCCGGGTCTCCAGGATCGCGCCCTGGGCCAAAGGCAGGCGCCAAACCACTGCGCCACCCAGGGATCCCTGGATTTGAATAGGTTTGAACGGCTTTCAAAAGGAACGAAAGTGTAAGTGGGCAAAATAGGAGACCATTCCAGGAGTTTAGGTGAGATATGATGAAGATATCAAAATGGACAATGGCAATGAAGAAGAAATGGATTCATATTTTTTTATTGGTAAAATCTGCAGGACTTGGTGACTGGATGTTATGGGTTAAGTGTGAGAAGCTGAGAGTCAAAGATAGCTCCCAACTTCCTAACCTGTTGGTTAGACAGGAATGGTACAAGGAATATGGGGCTCCCAATAGAGGAGCATCTGGCACAGAGTAGCTATTTGTCAAACTAAACAGTAACAACAACTGGGGCCCTTAAGGAAAAACAACATGTGCTATTCTTTTCTATAAACCTCAACAACTAGTGGCTTATCATCTCTACAGTGATAAACTCTTTAAGTCCCCCCTGGTCAAAAATCACTACTTACCTTTGTGGGTTTTAGTCTATCCATCACCTCGTCTAACCTTTCTTTTTTAAAAAATTAAACGTATCCCGTACAACTAAAATATTTTCACACTTTTCAGATGTGGACTCAATCTTTCAAAAGGAGGTTCAGCTTACTTTAAAAAAACAGTGAGAGGGACAGCCTGGGTGGCTCAGCGGTTTAGTGTTGCCTACAGCCCAGGGCGTGATCCTGGAGACCCGGGATCAAGTCCCATGTCGGGCTCCCTGCATGGAGCCTGCTTCTCCCTCTACCTGTGTCTCTGCGCCTCTCTCTCTCTGGGTCTCTCATGAATAAATAAAATCTTAAAAAAACAAACAAAACACAACAGTGAGGGAGTTGCCTGAGTGGCTCAGTTGGTTACGCATCTGACTCTTGGTTTTGGCTCAAGTCATGATCCCAGGTTGGTGAGACTCCAAGTCAGGTTCAGAGCTCAGCAGAGAGTCTGCTTCTCTTACTCTCTCTCCCTCGCCCCTGGCTTGGGCTTCCTCTCTTTCTAAAATAAATACATACATAAATAAATAAATCTTTAAAAAAGAAAATAAAATAAAGGGGTGCCTGGGTGGCTCAGCTGGTTGGGCTTCTGACTCTTAGTTTTGGCTAAGGTCGTGATCTCTGGGTCATGGGATCGAGCGTGGAGTCTGCTTGGGGTTCTCTCTCTACTTCCCCTTGGCCTGCCCTGCCCCTGGCCTCACTGGCACTCATGTATGTATACTCTCCCTCAATAAATAAATAAAATCTTAAAAATAGTGAAAGGGTTTTAAAAAAAAAACCTTAAAGAGGTGAGATAGGGGCACCTGAGTGGTTCAGTGGGTTAAGCATCTGCCTTTGGCTCAGGTCATGATCCCACGGTCCTGGGATGGAGCCCAGCATTGGGCTCCCAGCTCAGTGGGGAGGCTGCTTCTCCCTCTCCCTCTGCCCTTCCCCACGTTCATGCTCTCTTGGCCACTCTCTGCTTCTCTCTCTCAAATAAATAAAATAAGGTGAAATAATAATGCCAATAGCTTAGTTATGTGACAAAAATAGCCTTGGAAGTAAATACAAATATGCTGTTCTATTAGTGAGATTTAAATAAGTCCGAGTCTTTGAAAAACAGAAGATAAAACTTAATTGGTTCAAAATTCTGTAGTTTCACTAAATCTCTTTAGATGCAACTTGTGATTTTATAGATTGGAGTGGTTTTAGAACAGGTCTGTAGTCTGCAGCTAGGATGGATGGTTTGCTCCAGCACTCTGAACAAACGTTATCCCCTATTAAGTCCAAGAGCTACCTAAGACCAATCAGTTTCTGGAGGTGAAATATAAACAAATGCACACAAAATATTTTCTGTTCCTATTTGTCGTTCACCTTCCTCGTGGATTTTTTTTTTTTTAAGATTCTATTTATTTATTCATGAGAGACACAGAGAGAGAGGCAGAGACACAGGCAGAGGGAGAAGCAGGCTCAGTGCAGGGAGCCCGATGCAGGACTCGATCCCGGGACCAAGGGCCCACGCCCTGAGCCAAAGGCAGATGCTCAACCACTGAGCCACCCAGGCTTCCCTTCCTCGTGGATTCTTAAGTATCTCTGCTCGGTTCTCCCTTACGGCTTTGACATTGGGGATTGAATGGGTCTAAAACATTAAATTAAAAAGGTAAATCAAAAAATTTCCCTGGCACCGAAAAAGACAAGAAACTTCACCTTCTTTTCTTTCTTAGAAAAATCGAAATTGTAAACGACTTCTTTCTTTGGGATGTGTGCACACCTTTTAAAAAGCTACATAAGGGGTGCCTGGGTGGCTCCGTTGGTTGAGTGACTTGCCTTCCTTCCTGATTTCAGGGTCCTGCTCAGAGGGGAGCTTGCCCCTCCTTCTCCCTTTGCCCCTGCTCGTGCTCTAGCTCGCTCACTCTCAAATAAATAAAATCTTAGGGGAGGGGAAAGCTAAATAAGTCTCTTGACAATTTTGAATCCGCACCCCCCCCCACGACCATGGTCTTTCATAGGGGGTCTTGAAGTTCCCTTCTTTGAAATGCAAGTATCAAGGAGGACGGCACCACACCACCCAGTCTTCATAGGAATTTAAACCTCAGCTTTTGGCTCCCAGATGTAACTTCGTATTATTTTATTTTATTTTTTTTGGATAAAGACAGCAGGTGCCGTCATGGATTTTATCTGCCTGGCTCCCTAAACAAATGAGACTTGTTTCGTTTTGGTTTTTTATAATCTCGTCAGTGCATCACTGGCATGTTTCGATGCTCATTCGATAACACGATCTCAGTGTTTTCCACGTTTCGTGGAGGGTTTTTATATTAGGAGGTTTTTGTTTGTTTGCTTTTTTATAATTTCCCCGAACTGGGTCCTCCAGTTTCTGCACTTGTACAGCCGGCTGGCGATCCGCATTCCCTCTCCACGCTTGTTCTGGGCAGCAAGGCAGAGTGGAGAGAACATGGATTTAAACTGTGCTTTTCTTTTCTTTTCTTTTCTTTTTGCTAGAATTTCACTTCTCTGAAATATTACCTTTTTTTTTTTCCTCTGACGGATTACTTAACTTCTCTGAACCCCTATTACATCATCTACAAAATCGGAATAACACGTCTAAACATGAGGTAGCTGGACACACAGGAGGTGTAACGAAGTTATCACGGATGCCCTCAGCACACTCGACTTTCGTCCCCCTGCCGACCCCTTTCCCCGTGGGAGTCTATTCCCCTCCCCACCCCCTTCCCCGTGGGAATCTACCCCTTTCCCTCCTTCCCCCTGGGACTCTATCCCCCTCCCCTTTCCCCGTGGGAATCTATCCCCCTCCCCACCCCCTTCCCCGTGGGAGTCTATCGCCCTCCCCCTCCCCTTCCCCGTGGGAATCTATCGCCCTCCCCCTCCCCCTTCCCCGTGGGAGTCTATCGCCCTCCCCCTCCCCCCTTCCCCGTGGGAATCTATCGCCCTCCCCCTCCCCCTTCCCCGTGGGAGTCTATCGCCCTCCCCCTCTCCCCTTCCCCGTGGGAATCTATCGCCCTCCCCCTTCCCCGTGGGAGTCTATCGCCCTCCCCCTCCCCCCTTCCCCGTGGGAGTCTATCGCCCTCCCCCTCCCCCTTCCCCGTGGGAATCTATCCCCCTCCCCCCTTCCCCGTGGGAGTCTATCCGTCAGATCCCGGACGGCGTCTCCTTCACCAAGCACAGCGCGTACGAGGCACCCAACTCGCAGGGCGGCTCTTCCAGAGCCTCAAGAGCTGCCGCAGGTGAAGCAGACAGAACCTCCGCCGGCGGCGGCAGAATGGGGGCGGGGGGCGATCCGGCGGCGGGGGTCCCCAAATGCAAATCTGCGCATCACAGAAGAACAGAGGCGACGCCGCGGCTTCCGCACTTCCCCGCCAGGGCTCACCGGGACGTCCGCGCCGGCGCGGGGGCGGAGATTTGCATGTACGAAATTGGGAAGAGGGGGAACCACCCATTGAAAACCCCGGCCCGCCCCCCCACCCCCCCCCCCCCCGGCCTCGCGCCCGCTCCCCTCCCTCCCCGCCCCCCCGCGCCGCCGCCCCGGGAGAGCCGCCCCCCCGCCGCCCGGCCCGCCCCCAGCGCTCCCAGCGGCCGGCCCCCCGGCACGTCAGCGCACCCTCCCACCCGCTCCTGAACTTTAAGCCACGCGCCTCCGAGCCACCTGGAGGAGGGGGATTTCTCCGCAGCCGGCGGCTTTCGCACGCTCGGGACCGTCACCGCCCGGCTCCCAGCGTCCCCCGCGCTCCCGAAGCTCCCGCCTCCCCCCGCGGCCCCGACCCAGTCGCGGAGCCCCCCGGGCCGCAGGGGGCGTGGCGGGGCGCGCGGAGGGGGCGGGGCGTGCGCGCGGCGGGCGGGCGGGGGGGGGCCCGGGGGGGGCCTACGTCAGTCGCGGGAAATTCCCCTCCCGCCGGGCGGCCTCAGCCTCCGGGCCGCGGCGGGCGCTCGGCTGTCGCGGCGCTCCGCCCCCTGCCCTGGCTCCCGCACGCCGGACGGGCGCAGCCGGCGATCCCGGACGCGAGCGCTCAGGGGGTGGGAGGGTGTGAGCCGCAAAGCCCCGAGGAGGGCGGGAAGGAGGAGGAGGCCCCGGGGGTGGTCAGGGGCACCGGGGGGCCCGCCGGCAGAGTCCCTCGGCCGCCGGACCGACGCGGGCTGCTCGTGCGGCCTCGGGTCTGGACGCTTGGAGCGGGCGGCGCGGCGAGCGGAGCCATGGCCTCGGGTGAGTGTCCGCGGCGCGGGGCCGAGCTTTCGGGGCGGCGGGGGGGCGCGCGGGGGTCTCGGGGCGGACGCGCGCCCCCTGCCCTTGGGTCGCCTCGGCCCGCACGTCGTCGGCCTCGGGAGGGCGGCCCGGTTTGCGTGCGGAATGCGAGCCCCGGGCCGTGACCCGAGGCCGTTAGGATACGTCCCGGCGCCCTGATGGTTTAGGGTCAGAGCAGTTACCAGGAACCTCACGCCGGGAGGACCGAGAGGTCACGTATTGCAAAACGGATTTTTATTTGAATTGGTCAGGCTTTAGGTCTTAGAACAGGAGTGAAGACCTCCGGAGGGAGTGCTCTACCTTTTCTTCTATTTCTTTTCTTTTCTTTTCTTTTCTTTTCTTTTCTTTTCTTTTCTTTTCTTTTCTCTTTTCTTTTCTTTTCTTTTTTCTTTTCCTTTCTTTTTCTTTTCCTTTCCTTTTTTCCTTTTCTTTTTTTTCTTTTTCTTTCTTTTCAATTTCATCAAGTGCCAGCCGATGATCGCTGATGTGCTGACAGTGGCACCGAGTGGCTCGGTTAGGAGCCCCCCCCCCCCCCCCCCCGCCGGGCGTGCCCTACCTGGTCCTAAAGGTTGCTTCAACCGAGCGGATGATTTCCACTTTAAAGCGGGTACTTTCTGGTTTACGGAGACGCTATCTTTTTTTTTTTTTTTTTTTTAATTTCTTCGTTGGAAGGCAGGGGAGTGTTAGAATATCCGGGCTTTCAAATAGGAGTTAGCAATGAAAACTTTGCATCACTCAGGTAACCATTTATTTTCCGTTTATAGATAGATGCGTAGATCTCTTGCTTTGGGGGCAGGGGGAGTGGACGACGACGAGTTTACCCAGAAAAAAAAAAGTTGGAGGGCAGAGGAGGGAGCCTCCTCCTGTTGTTGTTGTTATTATTATTATTATTATTATTATTATATGATATGCACCCGGGGTTTAGATCTGCCTGTAACCTAAAGGGAAGTAAATCCAGCGGGCTCTGCTCGAGGTGGCCTTGGAGAGGATTCTGGCAAGGTTCATGGGGCGGTTTCGAGGCAGGGAGGCCTTACAGTAGAGCTCAGCGCTGGGCCAGGAGGCTGAAGGGGGGGGGCTTGTTTATGCTTCCTCCGCGCCCTCCCAAGACCCTGGCTTAGTGACCCTCGGAGCCTGGTGTCTGGAGGAGAAGAGGAAGTAGAAAGCTTTTTTTTTTTTTTTTTTTTTAAAAAAAAAAAAAAAAGAAGATTGAGAACAATGCCATTAGCTGCTGCTGCAGGCCGAAAAGGAAATTGGGGTGGTTCACATGACATTTGATTTCGGTTTGTCTGTGGTTTTTATGTGAGAATACAAGTTTAAAATATTTCAACTTTCTCTTTACCCACTTCAGTGACCCCAAACTTTCAGATAATTTTGTCAATTTATCATTTAAAAGCACGTTGAGATGAAGAGGGTGAAGAGGGCAAAGATGATCTGAGATATTTGGCTGATTTATTGGTTGACAGAGATTTTTTTTGTATGAGAGTCAGAGAGAACGGTGAGCATTATAAGTAAAAAAAAAAAAAAAAGGAAAAGAAAAGGTCTGACTGCTGGCAAGTTAACCAAACTTCGTTAATATGTGGCACGAGTGTAATACTTGTGATTCTTTTAAAAGAACCATTTACATAGAGGGTAAAGTAAGACCTCCCCCCGCCCCCCATCATTCAGCAATGTGATACAATTTAAATTTGTTGAATGGCACTGTATTTTGTGCTATTGTGAGGACTGATTTCCTAAATTGAAGGGGAAAGAATTAAAAGGAATGAAAAGTCGTAGGATCATTTTTTTTTTCCTTTCCTTTTCTGGAGTTGCATTAAAATGGGAGTATTTCAAATATGACAGGTTATTTAAATTGTAATTCAGTTGTATGAAAACTGCCAAAGAAATTTTAAAAAAGGAGTCTGGGTGTATTGTTTTTAATCACTTGTAAAGGCCTTAGAGAAAAAGACTCATCAGTAAATTATAAATTCTTTTCCTGTTTTGAAACAGTAGTTGAACCGAAAGAGTAATAGGAAAAAAAACTTTGCTTAATTAGCTATCGTTGCCTAGCTTAGATTACTTGTAGTAAGGTAGTATTAAAACCTCAAAAAATATTTTTATTGATTACCAGGCACTTAAAACCATTTCTTCTTTTCTTACCGGATGTCATATGTAAATAGGTCTGTGTAGCTGAATATGTTATCTGTAGAATGTAAAAGTTAACAGATCAGAGTCTCATTAGCAAAATTATTTAAGTATCATGAGTAACTGGAAATTTAATATATATGTGTGTATATATCATATGTACGTAAGTATGATTCTAAATTTTGTTTAGGTAAATTATCAAATTAATTATTTAGGGTTTCACAGATCGGGGTCTATTAAGCTCTCTTTACTGCTTTTTTTTTTTATTTTAACACTTTGATTTCTGTCTTTTGACACAATTAATTAGAACAGGTATTGTTAACAAAAATGTTCCCTATCTCATGCAGGGAATGGGTAGGCAGTCATTACTCTTTTATATTTATAATTCTGTATTGTTTAATGTAAGTAAAATTAACTATTTTATGTCTGAATTAAAGCTGGTCCTTGTTCCAGTACAAAGTGCAAAGTGTTCTTAGGCACACATAGTTCTGTTTACTAATCAGTAGTACTGTCTTTGGTAAAATATGTTTTAAAATTTAGATAGTTGATATTTATTCACAATTTTCTTTAGTATAGATCTGCTTTGTCATATAATAGGAAGTGCATGAAGAAATTGTTTTTGTAAACCGCACTACTTCCAACTCTGTGGTGTGAATTTCAAGAGAACTTGAGTATTTCTCTTGAGTAAGAGGAAAAAAATCAGTGTAGGTATGATGGAGCTTAATCTTTAACGATAGAGTTGGAAGCAGGAATTGACAACTAAAGCAAATGACTGTTTTCAAGTAGAGACGACACACTATAAACATGAGGGCTTTTTCTGAAATGCCGCACGTGAAAATGTAGGAGACAACAGCTACCTGTATAAAAGAATTAAAGTGATATATGATGGGGTGAAGGGAATGAGTGAGTGAAATGGCTAGGGAGGAATCGTGATGAATCATTATTGGGATCATCTGGGGTGTGTGTAGTGTCTTTCCCAAATACACTGTTGGAGGCTCAGCATTTCCTTGTGTTCTGGCCTTGTCTCCTCCGTGTTCTCTGCATATGATTGGGTCTGTAGGCACGTGACCCAAATACTTGCATGGGACATACTTACTCTAAAAAAATTTCTTTAATTCATTTTTAAATAGGCATCCTGTAATCTGGCAGTCTTAATCAGAACAGATGAGTTGTACTGTCATTTATTTTTAAGTTGGTTAAATACCTGAGTAATCTGGGACAGATTTTAAAATTATTTCTCTACTTTTTCATCCTGGAAGTTGAAATTTTTTTCAAGATTCCTTCTCCCCTCACCACAACGGAATGTCTAGCAGAATCTTCTGTTGTCAAACTCTTACATCTTTTATTTACCTTACGCTGTGTATATCAAATATTCATCTGAAAATTCCCTAACTTGGATTCTTAAGACTTATTTGAGAGTCAGCCTCAGATATTGGAATAAATGTGGACTTTAGCCCATAACAAACCTGGTTTTATTTCTAGTTCTGCCACTCTGTGATTTAAAAATGGGAATAACTACCGCAGCATCTTGTTTTGAGGAACAACAGAGACAATTCATGCCCGTTAATGTTAGTTTTCTTTTGTAGTGGAGCTGTTTGGAGCCTCAGACCCCTAGGAAACAGGAGCTACTAGAGATAGTTGGCACTCATTATTGTTTGGGTATCTAGACATTCTAGAATTCTGTGAAACCTTAAAAACTTATAATAGACTAGACAGGTGCTAGACCAAAAAAAAAAAAATAGTCTTTCAAGAATATATGTGAATGTCCATTTACTTTTAAACAATTTGAAATGGTTTTCTGTATTTTTTAACTAGTGGAAAAGAATTTGACAGTGATGTTTGGAGACTGTATCTTTTCTTCTCTGTCCACTTAAATGATAGTAAACATTCTGAAAATAAGGTACATAAAAAATTTCTTAGTAGATAGGCTATATGTCCTTTTGCTTATTTGATATAACTTTTCCTTCATTTGACTTCTTTTGCACCTTCTGTGTTAGTCTTTTTTCTATCATGCGGGAATAGGCTTAAATTTTCATCGCCCCTTTTAATTAAATGCTATTCTATGTGAGAAAAGGTAACTCTAAATTTAATAATTAGGAAGAAATGGAAAAAGTGTGTTTAAGGTAAAGAAGCTTATCACCATGATTCAGTTGGGTTCCTAGGTTTGAGGAATGACAAATAGATCTTATTTTTTCCCCAAAGTGAGTGAAGGTGATACTTAGAAAAGTGTATATTGTTAGCTCCGTTTGCTCCTTTTGCTCTCAGTGTATTCTACGGTACTTCTGAGAGAGATGGATTCTGCAGTGAGTTATTCTCAACTGTGGTGTTGACACTTTAGTGTATTATCATTTGCTTGCCGTATTGTAAGAAATGTTACTAATGATAATTAAAATAGTAATTTTGCAAACAATTTACCTTTAAAATAGATCAGTGTGATTGAAGGCTATCCCTATCTTCCTGCCTTTTTCCCTTGCTTGTATTTGGCTAAGCTTTTTAGAGTGGGAGAGAAAGAAGAGTTAAAGTCATCAGAATTAAAAAAAAAAAAAATCAGATTTCCTCTGGCTGGTTTGTCACCCAGGCCATACTTGTAATGAATTTTTGGATTGGTTTCTCTGGATATGTGCATTGTTTCTGCTTCTTTGTGTTTTAGGGCGATGGTTCTTAATCAAGAGTGTGTTAGAATTGCTTGGAAGGCTTTTTCAGAAATATGTCGGGACTTTAAAGATTTCTGTATCTATTCAGATCACAGGTGGGATCAGGGCATGTATGTTTTTTGAAAAAGCTTCCAGAGTGATTCTGGTATATACTCTCACTATGAACTCTGTTCCAGAAATTTCATTGGATCTAAATACTCATTATCTTCTTAAACTAAGTTGTATTTATTTTCGGTTATTTGCTGTAATCAGTTCTTGTGACTTTACCTCCAGCTGTTTTTATGCTTTAAAAAAAAAAAAATTTGATCCATTGGGACCCCAGCTATCATATTTGCTAATGTCATTCATAATTTCTTTTTCTTATAACTTCATAATTTTGAACTTTATCATCTATAAAAAGGTATAATAATTCCTGTTCTGTTTTTTTGAAGATTAAAGTTGAGAGGATGTAAAAGTACTTTAAAGCAATGTTATAATTACTGTAATTAACTTTTTACTGAACAATTAATACTGGTTCCCAGCACTAGCCATAAGGTCTTAATTAATGTGTTTATTTCTGACAATTGAGGCTCCATTTTAAAATTTTATTTCAGTGTAATTTTTTAATCTTAAAAACTCAAATAGCTTTTTTTTTTTTTTACTTAAGTGCAAATAAAAACATAAATATATCTTGCAAACATTTTGGCTGTATTTGAAATGTTATTTTGATCTGTATTAGCATTTTACAATATTGTTAAAAATATATGGGTCAATCGCAGCTTTGCATGGTATTGGTTAAAGAAAAAAGCACAGTAATCAACTTGCTTAGAACCACTTTGAAGAAATTTCAGTACTTTTCAAAACTGTAGAGATTTGAGATAATCTTAGTTAAGAGTACTTACTTTCTCTGCACTTCCCTGATTTACATTTTACCTTCCTCCACTCTGTACAAGACAAGTGTTCAGCACTCTTATCTTCAGGAAGATTGGCACTTTAAAACACGGTGCTGAGAGAGGAAATAACTGGTACATCGTACTGATGCAGGATATAAATGATTTATAGCTGGGAAGTATTTTTAAATCATAAATACAGATAAATTAGACTATAAGTAGGTATGAAGATTGGAAAAGTGTAAAGCACTTTTTTTTTCTATAGTAGTGGGCCCTAATAAGGAAAATCAGATTGATCATTAATACAATACTTTAATGCTTGTATAACTTACATAAACAAAAAGGTTTTTAGATTTTCAGTTATTTACCCCCAAGACATTTACAGATATTTACTGCAAGGCACTGATGATAAGTCCTAATTCCTGCCTTCAAGATAGTTTGAAAAGAAAACAAATAGCTTTTTTAAAGAAGAAACAAATTTCTTTTTTAAAGAAAGAAGAAATGAAACAGTGAGTCTTCCCTAAATTATAGTGATTTGGAATAATTGACATAAACAAAATACTATGATAATTTAGAGGAGGGGGAGAGTATTTCCATTTGGGGGAATATGAAACATTACAAGAAAATATCACTTGGTTGATAAAGAGACTTTTTACCAGTAAAGAGCTGTACAATAGGAAGAATAGATTTCAAAGGTTTTTAAGTACTAGATGCTGTATAATAACTAATATTTGTAATTTTTATAACTTTACATCTTTAAATATGGTTTTATTTTATCTTTCAGCAACTGCTTTTCTGTTCTCTTATCTATAGACCTTTTTCACAAACACTTTGTAGTTTATGGAGGGATTGTGTAGCCAATGAAATATTTGAAAAATCACTATGAGCCTGCACTTTTATTCACTCTTCCCCCCAAAGTTAGCCACTTACCCTTAATGATGTAATTCTCTATCAACTTCCCACCAAGACTTTAAATAAGTAGCGGGCAGGGATTTATTTGACCTTTAGTTCAACCACATAAATTATTTATTACTTTAAAAATGCTGTTGAGTGTTTTGAACTATTGAGAAGAAAATTACTTTCTTTTAAATACGCCTTCAATGATATATAAGGATGTGAAATATTCGAATTCACACTGAAATGTGAATTTGAGTTATTCAAAATATACAAGGATATAAATATGTTATATTGAAACACTCGTGCACCTTACATATTTCAGTAAATTTGAATTAAGTATTGTGAACGTCATAGGGTGAAAGTCAGTTTTCCCTCTCTGTCTTTTGTATAAACAAAAGGTAGTAAAATCAAACAGAAGGAGTCTGAACCAAACAGAATAAAATTAAAGGTAGCAGTAACTTGACTCAGTAACCCAAAGTAGGAACTGTGGAGCCTCAGTGATTCTTTACTTGCTCCTAACCCTAATGTTCAGTCTGTCACCAGGAACTGCCAATTTTATTTAAATAATCCTTCATTCCTGTTATCACACTATATGTCGGACATGCCCTCATCATGGCCCACAGGACTGTATGTAACAACCTCTAAACCCATCATCATACTTCCTCCTTTCTTTTCCATCTGTCCACTGCCACAAGAATTCTTATTCTAAAATGTCAGTCTAATTGTAGGATTCCCCTACGTGAAGCCATTCATTGACTCTTAGTCACTCATGGAATGAAATCCAGATCCCTAATGTACTCTGTACAGATTTGTAGATATGTACTCTGGCTTTGGGTTCTAAGGGGGAAGTGTACTCCACTCGCGCTGTGGCTTCATTGGTCATTTAAACTCTCCCTCTTCTGTGCTGCCACATCTTTGGACGCACTGTTCCCTTTCCTTAGAATTCCCTCTTCTCTTCTGCATCTTTTTGCTTCATTGACTCCTTTTCCTTTGACACAGGCATGCCTGACTCTTTTGCTCTATCATTTATGCACAATTTTGTTAGCATAAACAAAATTTTGTTCTGTTGGACTCTTCTGTATTCTAATAATTTATGTTGTGTGCCTGTAACATTCTTCAGAGTACCAGTTGTTGTTACACCTTCGTGGTATCGCTTTAAATTTTCAAGAAAGCATCTGAAATAATAATAGACAACATTTACTGAGTTCCTAATAGGCATGATGCTTGATAAGAACTGAACACACACTACCTCGAATCCTCACAACAGCCCCTATGAAGTAGGTGCTGTTATTATTATTCCCATTTTTTTCGAATAGGAGACTTAGAAGGTAACATTTCCAGGCTCCTCATTATTAAGATATGGCTAAGTAGGACTCAAAAGTCCCCTTCCTCACACTGTACCAATAAGACCCATTGTGTTAGACTGTCTAAAGATTTGCTTGCATTCTAACACAGGATAAGTCTTTAGTCAAAACAATGGATTATCTAATTGTGGGAATTTAGAAATCACTAAAGCAATGGAGGGAAATGGTGGTTTTTTTGTTTGTTTTTTTGTTTTGTTTTTTTTTAATGGAGACATCTTAAAGACAGGTTAAAGACAGGTTGCCAAGTATGCTACTTGTAAGCACCCTTGAATGTCTTCAATGAACTTGTCATTTCAACAGTATGGATAATAAGGGGTAAAGATGCATGTGCTTTAGACCACTTCATTGACATATAAATAATATATAATAAATTGCACATGTTTAAAGTTTGCAGTTTTATAACTTTTGACATATGAATGCAACCTTAAAATCATCATCACAATCAAGATAATTAACATATCCACCATCCCCTGAGTTTCCCCATCCATTCCACACCCCTGTTCTTAGGCAATCAGTGATCTGCTTTTTTTGATTATAGATTAGTTTACGTATTCTAGAGTTTTATATAAATGGAATCCTTAGGAGATGTGCTCTCTTTGGTCTAGCTTCTTTCAGTCAGCATAACTTTTTTTAAATTGGAGTATAGGGACATCAGGGTGGCTCAGCGGTTGGGCATCTGCCTTCAGCTCAGGGTGTGATCCTGGAATGCCTGGATCAAGTCCTATATCAGGCTCCCTGCATGGAGCCCACTTCTCCCTCTGCCTGTGTCTCTGCCTCTCTGTCTCTGTCTCTCATGAATAAATAAATAAAATCTTTTTAAAAAAAGATTAAAAATAAATTGGAGTATAGTTGACACAATGTTACATTAATTTCAGGTGTATAACATATAGGATTCATCCATGTTGTATAGATCAGTTCATTCTAAAGTTGCATATTTGGAATTACATTTGTCATTAGAAAGTAAGTAATTTCTTTTCCTCTGTTGTGTCTTCTGCTTTAGTAAAGATTTAGATGGAACTGATTGAAAATTCTGTTGAGCTTAAAATGAAGACTTCTGGAACTTGTTTTGATGTACTGTTTATCAATCCTTTAAGATTCCAGTGGAGATACAAAAAAATATCCTTCTGCAAGGATTTAAATGCATTTTCATTTTCAATTAGCAGTCTTTTAGTCCACTATTAAAAGTTTAATGTAAAATCAAGCAGATCGACTCACTTTTGGAGTAGGATATTGTACTTCTGAAGACTATCTTCTTGACCCTTCTGGGGGAATCTTGAGGGAAATCCTTTCACTTGGTCTGATGTAAGAAGTGGGTATCTCAGAACTTCACACTGGCATTAGCTATGGATATTAAATGATAAAGTGCTAACCAATAAATATGATTTGAGTGACTTGTGTTAACACTGTACAGGAGCTCAATATGAATGGGAGAAGAAGTGCCTTTACCACTCAATCTTGGGTAATTACATTTCAACCTTATTACTTAATATTGGGAGGGAAAATTTTTTAGTCTGCTATTTTGCAAAAAAAGAAACAAAAAACAAAAATGGTTACATCCATTATTACTGCTATCCTAATCTCTTCTTCACCCTTTCTTAAATTTTCAGGTGGGTATAACCCATGTATAGAGATAATTGAACAGCCCAGGCAGAGGGGCATGCGTTTTAGATACAAGTGTGAAGGGCGATCAGCAGGGAGCATTCCAGGGGAGCACAGCACAGACAACAACCGAACATACCCATCTATCCAGGTAATGGACCGTTCTCCTGTTTGTATCTAACTCTTAATTGCTTAATATTTTATCTATAGCAATTACACTAAAGGTTCAGTTTCTTCAGTGTGCTGTCATTTCCACTTAAATATATACTGGCTTAAATACATACTGTCAAGGGATATTTATGGTATGACAGTGAATATAAGAGCATGGCATTCAGTGGCCCAACATCCAAGTATTTTCTCATGCTCCACGATAATATTTTGGTATAACATTTTAAAAGGAAAATAAGCAGAATCAAATGATATATGATCACTTGAAATTAGTGCAGAAAATAATATGCCAAAGAACTGTGAAGTAAATTCTTCCCTTCTGGTATTCTCTGGAAAATTTCATCCAAACTGCATTTGCTAGTCAGTTGGACTTTATTTATCTAGTGCTAACCACGTGATATAAATTGAACCCCATTTGGTAGGTCAGTTCTTAAAATGAGATCAATTTATGGATCATATATTTAATTTCCCCCTTTTTCAGATTATGAACTATTACGGAAAGGGAAAAGTGAGAATTACATTAGTAACAAAGAACGACCCATATAAACCTCATCCTCATGATTTAGTAGGAAAAGACTGCAGAGATGGCTACTATGAAGCAGAATTTGGACAAGAACGCAGACCCTTGTTGTAAGTACATAGTCACAGGCATCTTGAGGAATAAGATAAGCAGAGGATGCTCCATTTCCCTTCATGTACATCTGTTATTTCTTAGCCGGATAAAGTAATTTCTCATTTTTCTATTTACTGTATTGTACATCTAAATTTGCTTACCATTCACAGTAGAACTACCCTTTTATTCTTTATTAGTAGACACAGCCCATGGTGGTAGCAGGAATACTTATTTATTGCTACTAAAGGTAAACATAAACTTACTTTATGCTGTGATTTTTTTCTTAGTTTGAACAATCTCTGAAAAGTTTTCTTTCATATATTTTTACTTTGTCCTTTCATTAATAGTTAAAAATTACCAGATATGAGAAAACCATCTGGAAAACTGGAATTATTATTTAGAAAAAGACAGGTTATAAAGGTAACATAAGATGGTAGTTCTAAGATAAGAAAAATGATATACCACTTTGGTGTTGGTGAGGGTGCCAGAAGATGGGTCCATTCATCATGTTGGTGATAGTATAGATTAAATCCTTCTGGTAGGCACTTTAAAAACTACATAGGAAAAGCCAGAAAAGTATGAACGTCTGTTGAACCAGCAATTCTACTTCTAGGAAATTATCTTCAGGAAACAATTAAGCATGTTCAGATATTCTGCTATAGTCATGTTCATTGCAGCTCTGTTTATAATGGCAAAAAGTTAGAAGTGTTGAGGATAATAAACAAGGGATCAGTTAGATAAACTGGCACATCCGTGCAGTGTAGCCTTAAAAATAACATTGCAAATACCGCTTTGCGTAAAAAGATAATCACACTATGTTGATAAATAGGTTTTAAAACAATATGTGATAAAAAAAATCTTAAAAAAATAGGTGTATACCTATGCTTGGTAGTATATACACTAAGGTATTAATAGTAGTTGTCTTTTGGTGGTTAAGACTGTGGGGTTTTATGTTTTTTTTTAACTTGTGTTTATTCTATGATTCAGTTTTTATAATGAATATGTATTGCCTTTGGAAAAAACTGAACCTAAATACAACAAGGAAAATGTTAGTAGCCTTCTTATATATTTATAGTAACTATCTAGAAAATATACTTTAAAAATATTTTTCTTGCAATAGCAACACAAAACATAGATACCTAATAATACATATATGGCAAGAAATATTTCCTATTCATATCATTTGACCTCCCAACACCATTTTACATCGTAGACCATTCCTTTCTTGGAACCTTATTTCTTGATTTATGTGAGAACGACTCTTGTGTTTTATTTCTTACTTTTCTAGCTATTCTTTCTCAATCTTAGTTACAGATAGTTAAGTTCTTAATTATGTCCAATAATGCCCTTTATGGTTGTCCTGCTTCTCTGCCCAGTCCAGGATCCTGTTAAGGATCACACACTGTATTTACTTGTTATGTTTTTTTAGTTGTCATGATTAATAAAGTCTCCTTTAATTTAGAATAGTTTTGCAGCCTTTTTTGGTCTTTCATGACCATTAACTTTTTTTTTTTTTTGTGACCATTAACATTTTTGAAGAGTCTGGGCTACCTGCTTGAAGATTATTGTTCAATGTGGATTAGTCTGAATGGTTGCTCATTTATATTGATGTTGCTATGAGTAACATGAGTAGTATTTTCATGTTAACATGAAACATTTTGGTTGAGAAGGCTACAGAGGTGGTATAATGTTATTCTTAAGATATCCCTCAGGAGACATGGGATATTAGTGTTTTCCATTGGTGGTATTAATTGACATTCTCTTGTAAAGAAAAACTTTTCCTTTTCCTTTTCCCCACTAAAAAATAAATACCACTGCAGACCCATGGAATCTTATATTCAGTGTACTGTAGTCCATTACTGGCATTATTATTTTGATGTTCAGATTGACCAATGCAAGCTCCTTCAGCCTGTTTCCTGTATCTTTTTGACATGTTTCCATCTTTCTTCGAGTACTTCTTTACTTTCTGACACAGCAAGATGTTCAAGACTTACTTGTACTTTTCTTGCTCCAGCTTTGAAATCCGTTTTTTTCTGAGGAGCCCTGGTTCCTTTCAGTGGAGAATGGTATTTGTTCTGATTGTCTTTTTAACATATTCTCTTAAACACATCAGAAGCACCTCAAATAGAATATGCCCCAAATCCTGATTTTACCGTGATCATACTTCTTTCTTCTCAATGGGTCTTCCACTGTGCCTTATCTCAGTCATTGCTATAAAAGCTCCCAGACATGGGTATCATCCTTGATACTCCCCACGCAGGCATGCACATTGAATGCATTAACAGGCACCTCCTAAACAGTTCTTGAATCTCTGCACTTCTCTCGGTGATCTCTGTCATCACCATGCTACCTGTAGTGGATATGTAGGCTGCCAGGATAGCCTCCTGACTGATCTTGCATCAACTCTTTTTGTACCTCTTCCCTCCAGATCTGCTCTCTACTTTATCCAAGATCTAATTTATTTATTAAAATAATAAATTTAAAAATTTATTCAAAGTGATCTTTTCAAATACAAATCTGATTGTCATATTCCCATTTAAAACATTTCAGTGGCTTTATGTGGCTCTTGGAATAAGGGCAGTATTCCTTATTGGCCTATAAAGTCCTCAGGGTCTGCTTGTATTTCTAGCCTTCTGCTATCCTGTGCGCCCCTTGAACTCTCTGCTGCAGTCACAGAGACCTTCCTTTAGTTCCCTGTGCTCACAGCACTCTTTTGTAAAAGCCTTTGCTTGTTCTGTTCCTTCTGCCCGAAATCTCTTTCCTCTCTTCTTCCCCTAGTTCATTTCTGTTTATATTAAGTACCACTTCGCACAGTAAGCCTCTCTGTCCTTCCCAAATGGATCAGCTCTCTCCCATCACAGGCTCCCATGACATAATGTATATATCTCCTTTATAAAACTTGTCATGGTTTCAGTTTAGCATTTTTTTGCCTGTGATTATTTAACAGGGATCAATTTGCCTCACTAGACCAGAGGTCAGCAAAACTTCTCTGTAAAGAGCCAGATAGTAAATATTGTAGGCTTTGCAGGCCATGTGGTCTCTTGCATCTGCTTAATTCTGTTGTAGCACAAAAGCACGCACAGACAATATATAAACATATCAGCCTGTGTTCCAAAAAATTTTTATTTAAAAAAATAGGTGGTGGGCTGGGTATGGTCTGTGGGTGATAGTTTGTGAACCCCTGTGTAAGCTCCACAAGGGGAGGGATCGTATGTCTCTGTTACTTTCTAGAGTTTTTGGTACAGAGTAGGAATCCCAAAACTTGTTCAATAACTGTGAATCAATGAATGAATGAATGATTGATTCAGAGAATCTTTATGATCCTTGGTTTCCTCATGGCAGAGTTTCAAAAATCCTTACCACTTCTCATATTCTGTGAATAGCAGTCAAATACCATTTTTCAGATGAAACAAAATTAAGTAGTATATAAATATATTAAACAATTCTTTAAAATTTTTTGTCAAAGAAAAGGTGAGAGCCAAGCTATGAACCCTTCAAAGAAGCAGAGTACTTTTGAGGAAGAGGATTATGGTTTCAGGGTTTTGAGAAAGGATTATGAATTCAAGATCTATTTTTTAATTATTGGAGACAGAGGAAGGAAATGTCAAAGATGGTTTAGGTGCTAACAAAATCACAAATGTGGTGAAGGTGAAGAGCATAGACAGAAGGCACCATGAGTGTGGAGAGAAGCAAACAAGGCAGGCAGCCTCCTGGAGCAAAGGCCCATGTGAAGCTTGAACAGATAGTAATGTTATTATAACCAAGTTTTGCTTCCTTATTCACACCCACCCAACTTTAATGATGTCATGGTTTTTCCATGTGGGAACAAGTATGACTGGTGGTGGTAGGGGAGTTCCCCCCACCATCATCTGTGCTACTAATATGCAAATTAGTGATATTTGTAGCTATTGAGAAGTTTTCCATAAATGACATTTTGAAACTTTTGTTAAATATTATTGTTCATATTAAATATCTAATTTAAAAGAAAACATGTCAGTGCTTTCTTATGAATGATTATTATAACTTCATGTACTATCACATAAAACACTCCTTTGCTACTGGTAGTGAAGTCAGGGCTCAGAAATCAAATGTCTGTGGAATGAATCAGGTATAGGAGGACTAGCAGGCCCCGTAGCGAATTGGAGATCCAATTCTCAGCTCCAACGAGGTGTTCCTGTGGAAGGCTACTGTTGCCAGCCTGTTAGAACATTCAGGAGAAGCCGGAATTCTAGATGTTTATGTCTAGTTACTGGATTCTTAAATGTTAGTAGCGTTTGCATGCTTGTTTGTTTGTTTTTTTTAATACAGGCAACATTTATGGGCTCAGAAAAATATACCTGTGGGTGTCTTTTTACACTTTTTTGTTTGGGAAGTCAGTTTTAGCTTTTGGTATCACTCTCCTGTTACTTTTCATCTATTTTGGTGTATTTGACATAGATATAGGATGTACATTTGACTTTGGCAGTATTCTTTGCTAAAACTTCATTTATATGTCTTTGTGTTTAACTGTAATGCAATTTGAAAGTTCTGTTTTTCCTTCTAGTTTTCAAAATTTGGGTATTCGTTGTGTAAAGAAAAAAGAAGTAAAAGAAGCTATTATTTCAAGAATAAGAGCAGGAATCAATCCTTTCAATGGTAAGTATGTTTGATAGAATTATTTCTATTATTTGAATATTGACCTGTTTGTGCAAGTGAATTGTTTGTGTCTTGAACCTGTGCTTTAAAAGCTATATTAAGTTTTGTTGATGGATACCTGTATCTGAGGAATGAAGATTTAAAATCTTTCATAGGGTTGGGGAAAAAAATTATCTGACAGACAAGGCTTTCTGGTATCTGTGGAGAGTGCTGTTGTTTTCTATAAGAAAACCTTGTCACAAATGTTCTGATTTCTTTTAGAATGTAGCCTTCCATTTGCCACTCCAGCAGACAGTATACATTACCTTTTCTGAACGTTGAACTGGCACTGTGGTTATTTAAATCAAGGGCATACTCAACAGTGAAATTAAAATTAATCCCAGTATGGAAGAAGATGTATAGAAATAGTGGAAGTGATACAGAATATTTTCATAGTGTATTTGTGTATAAGGCTATTTACTGGTTAGTGGGTTTTGTCAGGGATTGTGCAATCTGGTGTTGCGCCTAGCAACTGTAAACACCTCTGTTGTTTGAATAGATGGATGACTGCACCAAGCTGAATGCAGGCATCCTACACTACAGTAGTCTCCTCTGTAAAGTCTTCTGCAGTTACTTAAATAGGCATAATTCAGGAACTAAATGACTAACATTTTCGAAGAATAGATTTCTCTGTCATATTTAAGACATCCTTATATTGTTGGTTTGTGTTTTTCCTGGATGTATAAAAATAATTTAAGGGAGGGGCGCCTGGCCTGGGTGGCTCAGTCAGGGAAGCATCTTGCCTTCGGCTCAGGTCATTATCTTGGGGTCCTGGGATTGAGCCCTATGTCAGCCTCAGCTCCCTGCTCATCAGGGAGCTTGCTTCTCCTTCTCCCTCTCCCCCTGCTGCTCCCCCTGTTTGTGCACCCTCTCCCTCTCTTTCTGTCAAATAAATCTTTTTTTTTTTGAATAAGGGATAGGAAGATAATTTGAGGAATATGTTCATAGCCAAATGCTGTGTTTTTATGAACTGTAAGGTCTGCATCTCTTCTCCCTAGGCCTTTATTTTTTATAATATTTAGTGTAATGCTCTAAACAAACGTCCCCTTCTTCCCCTTCAGTCTTCCTTATCAGAGCAGATGACTGTTTTTTTGGTGTATGTTTCTCCAGAATTTTCTTTATACATATATAGCTGTCTCCCTGGTTTAGGAATTTATCTCATAGTTTTTATGGTGCAGATTACTGTAGTATAGGATGCCAGCATTTAGCTTGGTGTAGTCACTCATGTATTCAAACAATACAGAGTGCTTACAGTTGCCATCCCCAGCAAAATCCACTACACAGTAAATACCCAGCTGTATACACATATGCATATATTATTTTGGTAAAAAGAATCATGGGTATATTACTACTGCATCTTTCTCTCCACTTAGGAAAAGATCTTAAACATCTTGCTATGTTAGTACTTATAAATAATCTATTTTACTTTTTAACAGAGTACTGTATTGTTTGGATAGACCATAATTTATTTATCTAGCCATCTGTTAATGAACATTTAAGTTATTTTCATTTTGTTAAAAAAAAACCTCCATTGAACATATATACACTGAGTTCTTGTGTGACTATTTCCTTAGGATATATTTATCTTTTTTTTTATTTTGAGTTTTTTTTTTTAATTTATTTAAGTACTTTCTATACCCAGCATGGGGCTCGAACTCACAACACTGAGATCAAGTCACATGCTCTTCTGAGCCAGTCAGATGTCCCTAGGATAAATTTAAAAGTGGAAAATTTCTGGGTCAAGAATATGCTCATTTTCATTGCTGAAGTAAAAACTCAATCTTAATAGAGTCCATCTAAGTCTAGATGCAGTATAAAACAGGGATAATGTAGTATAAAAAAGTAGATCATATAGGTTACTGTTTATTAAGTAATTTTTGTATGTCAAGGAGTAAATGTTAAGTGCTTTATGTATGCTATTTAAACCTCAAAAATTTTTTTTAAATTTAACTTGGTGGGGAGTGGGTAGTTCAGTCATCTAGACATCTGCCTTCGGCTCAGGTCCTGGGATCGAGCGCTGTGTTGGGCTCCCTGCTCAGCGAGGAGCCTGCTTCTCCCTCTACCCCTGTTCTTGCTCTCTCTCACTATTGTTCTCTCTTTCAAATAAATAAATAAAATATATATTTTTTAATTTTTTTAAATTTATTTATTTATGATAGTCACACACACACACACAGAGAGAGAGAGAGAGAGAGGCAGAGACACAGGCAGAGGGGGAAGCAGGCTCCATGCACTGGGAGCCTGACGTGGGATTCGATCCCGGGTCTCCAGGATCGCGCCCTGGGCCAAAGGCAGGCGCTAAACCGCTGCACCACCCAGGGATCCCAAATAAAATATATTTTTAAAAAAGTCTTAAGTAATCATTCTTGCCCCTCAATGTGGAGGTTGAACTCACAATCCTGAGATGAAGAGTTGCATGCTCTTCTGACTGAGCCAGTCAGGTGCCCCTTATCTCATTTAATTTTTATAATAACCTATGAGGTAGGGACTATTATTATGTCCATTTTGAAAATAAATTAAGGCATGGAAAAGTAAGTAATTTTCTCAAGGTCATAGAGCTGTTAAGTGGGGGTGCTGGGATTTAAACACAGGTAGCCTGGCTACCAGGCTCATGATTTTATCTCTCCTGAGCTGCCTAGGTGGATTTAGATTTGGGGAAGGGAGCAATCCTGGCAGTTGAGCCTTCACAGTATTTGTGGTTTGATGGTGGTTTAGTTTTTTGTAACATCCTTTTCTTCCCCACAGCCCTTTTTGCTCTCACTAATATAAAGATTTATCTCACAATTTGAGTTGTAGGAATCCACCCACCCCCACTCCTGTTAGAGTAATCTTCTTAGAATAGCACTTTTAGCATATCATTCAGATTAAGAAGTTGGAATGACTCCTTTAAAAGTTTAAAAACTAAATGGTCCTAAATTAAAAGTCTTTCACATGTAACTCCAACGTATTTTTCCTTCCTTCTCTTCCACTGGTCCTCTTCACCCTTCACTCTTGTTCACCCTACCCTCACTGTCTCAGTCCATTGTCTTCCATTTTCCATAGGAATGTAAGCTTACATCATTTGTAGCTTGTAGCCTGGACTGCTGTTGTTAGCACCTAAACTTGGGGTCCTGCCTCTATTCTTTATCATCTTTTAAGCACTTTATATGCTGCATGTAAAAATAGCCTGCTAAAACTAGTAGGAATTATTTCAGAATGCTGCTTATCATCCTTCAGTGGCTCTAAATAATTTTCAGCAGTGGTTCTCAATTTGAATATACATAAGAAATCCTTCTTACTTAAAAAAGGTAGATTCCAGGTCACATTCCAACTAGTTTGCTGGGTCTGGCAAGGGATCTGGGGCTGTGTTGGTTTTTTGTTTTTTTAAAGATTGATTTTTTAAAGATTTTGTTTTTTTATTCGTAGAGACAGAGACAGAGAGAGAGAGAGACAGAGACAGAGACACAGGTAGAGGGAGAAGCAGGCTCCATACAGGAAGCCTGACGTGGGACTCAATCCCAGGTCTCCAGGATCACACCCCAGGCTGTAGGCGGCGCTAAACTGCTGTGCCACCGGGGCTGCCCTAAAGATTTATTTATTTGAGGGAGAGAGAGCACATGCATGCATGCATTCATGAGCCAGAAGGGGAATGGCAGAGGGAAAGGGAGAAGCAGGCTCCCCACTGAGCAGGGAGCTCAACACTGGACTCCCATCTCAGCACCCCGGGGCCATGACCTAATACCAACAGAATCTTAGTCGACTGAGCCACCTAGGCGCCCCTGGGATTGTGATTTAAGAAAGCTCTAGCTCTGTGTTTCTTGACTTATTTGACTGTGACTCACAGAAGAAACAGATCTTATTCCTCTACTCAATACATACATAAGCATACAAACATACGTATAAACACTAATCTTACTACATGCAATAATATATTATATTCCATACCTTGCACTCCATTTCTTCCTTCCTTTCTGTCTTCTTTTTTTTTTTTTTTAAGAACTTGCTTATTGAACCCATGAAATTAGTTTTATGGCTGACCAGTAAGTCCCAGACTCTTACTACACGAAATATGTTCTCTATGCTGTTCCATTCCTTTCCATTCCATTTGTTTCTTTCTCTTTTTAAGGAAAATGTTTATCCACATGCACCCGTGTTTATAGCAGCATTATTTACAATAGCCAAGATATGGAGGCAGCCCAAGTGTCCATCAGCTGATGAATGGATAAGGAAGATGTGATATATATATATATATATATATATATATATATATATAAACAAAATACTATTCAGCCATAAAATGAATGAAATCTTGTCATTTGCAATGACATGGATGTAGGCAGAGAGTATTAGTAAGTGAAATAAGTCAGTCAGAGAAACACAACATGATTTTACTCAGATGTGGAATGTAGAAAACAAATGAGCAAAGGGAAAGACAAACTAAGAAACAGACTCTTAACTCTAGAGAACCAAGATGGTTACCAGAAGGGATGTGGGTAGTGGAATAGGTGAAATAGGTGATAGGGAATAAGGTGTGCACTGTGATGAGCACTGGGGGTGGTGTATAAAAGTGTTGAATCACTATATTGTACACCTGGAACTAATATAGCACTGTATGGCAACTAACTAGAATAAAAATTTTTTAAAAATGGCTTATCCAACCACCAAATTAATTTTATGACCAGTGTGGGTCCCAAACTACAACCTGAAAATCTCTGCCACAGAGGATTCTGATGCAGCTTTGAGTAACTCTCATCTACTTGCTAGATTCAACTTCTCAATCATGGTACTCAAAGCCCTTCATGATCCAGTCCTTGTTTTCCATCCCAGCTTCACCTCTAGCTTGTATCCTCTGCCTCAACTTCCTGTCCCTCCTTCCCCTAATACTGAGTGCACACATACGTGCTTTACTTTTGCCATCTGAACTGTTTTTGCCGTGTTAGAAGAGCCACATTCTTTTCTTTCTTGCTACTTTGCCTTTATAT